AATTTGGTTGTACAGATAGGGAATGTTAGGACATCATTTGTAGAAACAAATCAAGGTTTGATGAATTCTTCAAAACAATTTCACAATATTTGCCTTAACCTTGTTGAAAATTTGAAGTAGTGGTGAACAATAAAGGTACATTATTTAAAAGATAGGATAAAGACTCTATGCTAATTAAAATGTTAAAACCAACTCTGTTATAACATAGAGGATGACCTTCAGCTCTATGACAACACTATCCTTGCTTTGAATCATTTGTATATTCCTTCGAGTATGTGTTGTCTACTAATCCTTTATAGAGAAGAAACAATAAAACGAGCAGAAGGACCAAACAAAGTGCCAAGATCCACGAAAGAAAGAACAAAAGGATGGCATGATAAAAGGATGAGAAAGGAGTGTGATATAGGAGACAAGATGCTCATGAATAGCTCAAGCAAGGAAAGCTTCAAGCAGGAAGAAAATATCACCACACAAGTCATCTACCCTTCATCAAAGGGTGTCATCACACTACAATGAACAAGGCAACATCTTAAGGTAAGTGGTTATTGTTTAAAAAGCTTACGTTTGATCTAGCTATTTGCACAAATGAAGAAACAAACATGTTTGAGTTACAACTTTGTTTGATTCAACATGATTAACTCAATATGTCTTGTTCCTTAAGCTTGTTCATAGCACCACTTTTTTGATCTCATAGTCTTAATCAAATGAGCTAAAATATTGCATATCTTATCTTTGGAAGATGATAGTCATAATTGTGTAAAGTTTGATACATTATGTAAAGATGGACAATCCTTCCATAGGTTAAGCAACTCCACTCTTTTTTGACAAATGTATTCAAATGCCATATTCATCCTCATCCTTCTAATCTTATCACCCATATTGTAAGAATGAATGCACATAATGTCAACCGTAACATAATTCGATGTGCCTAAGGCTAGAGAGAAAAATAAATCAAGTTTTGGTTTTATTGGTGTTTTTCCACCAACAGAGCCCATACACTTGATCTCTACCTTATCTTTATGAGCAGAATACACTTTGAGGAAAGTTTGGGGGAGTCAATCCACCAAATTCTATAAGTGAAAGTTCTGAACCGGCAATAATGATGCACACAAGATATCATCAGTTTCTACTACTAATGGTTGACTTCAAAATGCTAAACAAGATGGAGGAACAAGTCAAGTAAGAAGAATGAACACCATCAAACCAAAATCAAACTCAAAAGCTGAGATCGGTTTGGCAAAATAAGGTGGCACCACCATTGGAAGCGCCACTACTAGAGGCGCCACCTCAAGAATCCTCATCTTCAAGAGTGAACCGAGGAACTCGATCAATGATCTTCCACAACTACCGAGGGCAAGATTATGAAGCAACCTCAAGTGGGCATTAGGGAGGACGCATGTATTTCTCTGGCCGAGGGTATCATGACTCTTAGGAGGCTTACTACCGCCGACAACATGACTCAGTAGCCATTGAAGAGACAAATGCTGCCATGCAAGGTACGTTACATAATCATGCACAATGGCAGGTAAGCATGGGATACGAGATGGCCAGCCTCCAGCAACAACAACAACAGTAAAAATCAAAATTGGGAGGCTCTGTCCTAGAACCTCCACATCCGGTCACCTCGTTGAGCAACCACGACAACAACCAACTTGGGGGACAAGGCATCACCCGTGTATCTAGATAAGTATTTCTTTTCCTTTTATTATTCTTAGTTTGCTTTATATATATATATATATATATTAGAAAAAAATAACTAAAAACAAAATAAAAATTTATCTTTATAGAAATATATATAGTTATAATGTGTGATCTAAAAAAATAAAACAAAATAAAGAGAGTGTGTCTAGTTTGCATTAATTTATTTTTAGGAGCTGAATAAAATAAAAAGGACTATGAAGATAATATCTTAAAATGGAAATGATGAATATTTGCTCTGTTATAATTCCTTTTAAGTGCCTAGTTTTCAGTCTTGAATTCTTCCGAGTTTTGGATAAGATTTTTTTATATAAGGATTCACTTTGAACTTGAAACTCGTGGGTAGCATATGCTTGATCTAAGTCTAGATAATTAAAGGATATGATATGAGAAGGTCTGAGTTGCTGTTTATCTTATTCTAAGTGACACTAAAATTTTGGAGATTTAACTTTTAAAAAAATATAAAAATACTACATGATGAGTTCATGTATGATAAAGCTTGAATTCCTACCAGAGTCATAAATGTTATTTAGGCTAGGAAAACTTTCACATATATGCTGCTTGTTTTGCATTGAGTTTTGTCAAGCTTTATTGATCCTTATCAGAGATTTGTCATACTCTTAAAATCAAGATCATGTACCCTCCACCCACGTATGCACTACTCCTACACTGAGGTAGGCGTAAACACATGTCATTACATTTAGATCCACCCAAAAAAGTTTTACTCCTATACTGGAAGTGAACACAAAAACATGCTTGTTAGGTTTGCATTCAAATAAATGCTTCAAGTTCTTGTTGCTATCTCTCTAATATTTTGGTTGCAGAAAAGAGGCATGGGGCTATGCAAAAATTATTCATAAAAAAAGAAAAGGAAAAAAAGAGTTGAGAAAAAATGGACACAAAAGTGTTCGATACATTTAAAACAATAGTATTCTGTGCGCTTGTGGAATCCTTCATATTATATTTGCACTTATAAATACCAACATTCGCCATGGACTTTGTTTCCGGATCTGGGTTCTCATAAGAGAAATATTTGCAATTATAGAGGTAACATTGTCGATAACTATTATTTTCTTCCAATATTCTCACAATACAAGATTATTCTATCTCTTTGTCATTTCTCAAACAAGACATGATTTGTTGTTCTGCATACCCAACACTAATAATGTGCGCACCTAGTGTGTTGGATTTTATCTTCGTGATGATCCTCTTCACGAGGTGCTTAACCTTCTTCATGAGGTGTTCTCTTCATCAAAATGGAGCAGTTTGTTCTTATTTCATTTGACAAGTATACATTAAACTAGAATCCACAGGTGTCCCCGTATATTTTAGCTTGATAGTATATAATATTTAGTTTACTACTAGTAAACACAACTTCTGATTTATAACTTCAAGTTACTCCTTTCATTTTTTAAAAATATATGGCATATGCTCCGCTTCATGCTTCACAAGAGCATTAGTCAAACTATTGTTTGATTTAGCGTGATATTGTTCTGCTTCAAGCTTGAGAAATATTTTCTTTATATCATTTTCCTTCTATGGAAATAATATTTGACATTCAAAATAGGCTTTCTCTCCCCCTAATGCCAATATTAGATCTTTAATATCATACTTCAAAAGATATCCCCTATCATGGGCTTAAAATAATCAAATTTATACATCTCCAACTACAAGCGGAGGCCCATTCATTTATGCTATGATAAAATTTTATGAAAAATATCCACGCATATATTTAAACACGGGGGTTAGTATTCATTAAATGCAGCGAGCTAGAATACATAAAGTGCACTTAAGATTGTTTAGTATTTCTACAAACTCAGGGATGTTCTCTCCCTGATTTGCATATATCATAATTTAAAAAAATTATTTTATTGTCTACCTTCTTCATTGTTTAGCTAAAAAAATTGATCCAATTACTCATACGTAATTAAAAAAATGGATCATATACTTCAACTGTATAAATATGCAACATTCAAAATTATATGGAATTTCTTCTATAATTTTTTAACCAAATGCCTTTTCTTCATAAATCCCAAATCATCATTAAGTGTTTTATCTATTAACTTAATTTCCACTATAATTCGGCCCATTCAAGTGGGTCACTTCTCCATTTAGCCCATTTTGGATTAGCCCTTTTAGATTAACCAACTCTCCCTAATCTTAGGCTACTTGGCCCTATACCAATCTATTGCTTATGCATGCGATGCAATGAAAGCAAAATATTCCTTAGTTCAACGAGAACTATATAGACATAGCATACTAGCTTGCCAATGTAATTATGAGGGAAGTGCAAAGGTAGTTACTAGCTACAAATGTATCTGTTATACTAATATTCATGCAGGAGTGGAGATAGTGCAGCTCGACGGGAGCATAACATAGTGATACACATTCATGTGTAATGTGAAATGTTGGTATTCAATCCAACGTAATAGATAATAACAAAATACAAAGCTACAAGCTTGCTTGCAATTAGTGCAATGTAGAGAAAGTTAACTCGGCCGGAAGGGATGCGGCTAGGACTTCAAGTCCTGATACATGCACTTAAAGATAGATTTAGGAAGGCTATGCCTATTAAATATATATTACCCATATTTTCTTATGCCTTTAGTTATTACGGATGCCAATTGATCTACCCCACATACCGCATAGGGCAGTGGTTAGTAGATACATACCGCGTACGACGTTTGGCATTGTCGTAGATCTGCCTGCTTGACGACGACGGTGTATGTCGATGCAGTGCAGATTAGTTATAGGTCGAGGTAACAGATCCTATCCGCTAACAACGTCGAGGATGTCGACGCCGTCGAAGTAGTCACGGCGGGATGTTGACGGTACAAGTGTCGGCATTGAAGATCGGCCACAGCTTCGACGGCGATGTCGACGAAGAACTTGTCGTGCTGATAACGTGTTATAAAATATGTTGCTAGCAGTTAGGACCTTCCCCTCTCCGTCTCTCATGATCAACTCAATAAATAAAATAGAAGAACAAATAGATACAAGATAGAGAGAGTGTTTTTCATTTATCTGAATATTGATGATTACAACATAGAACTCCCATACTTATATAGTCCTATCAAGTACTAAGAGTTTGGTAAGAGTCTACATACATACGGACTAGGATTAGGATTCCACCTTCTACTTTTCTTCTAGGAAATGGTACTATTTATAATATTTTTACAGTACCCTTGAAGCGACAAGAGCCATCCAATCCTCCAACTTATTTTTCCATCGAACCTTATATCGCTCAATCATGGCCCATGCAGTACCACACTGGCCCAAGAAGCATATTATGTTGGGCTTGTTTACGCATCGGCTGGAGCAATACAGGTAACCGGGTGCAAAATCAGGCCTGTTTTCTTCTTTGCTATCAGTCCTGGACCCTCCCAAACTTGGACATCCTCTGGCTTCACTCCGTCTGGCAACTTCCAGTTATAGTGGTACAGAAGGCTCGCCAGTGCGAGTTCAATGTTAGCCAGTCCAAGGTTTGCTCCCGGGCACATACGGCGGCCGGATCCGAACGGAAGAAACTCGTAGTTTGTCCCCTTGTAGTCAAGGTTGGTGTTCTCGAACCGCTCTGGCCTGAATTCCTCTGCATCTTCCCAGTACTTGGCGTCCCTGCAGATCGCCCAGACGTTGATGAACACGGATGTGCCCTTAGGGATGTCGTAGCCCATGACCTGGCACGTCTCCCGGCACTGCCGCGGGAGCAGGAGCGGCAGTGGGCAGTGCATCCTAAGAGCTTCCTTGATCACAAGCTTGAGGTAGATAAGCTCTGCCCCGGCGAGGTCATCCTCGGTGATTCTGGTCTTCCCCTTGAAGGCCTCCCGAACCTCGGCCTGCGCTTTGGCCATGGTTGCCGGGTACCGCATTAGCTCTGTCATGCACCAGTTCAGTGTCGTCGACGAGGTATCGCTGCCGGCGCCGAACAAGTCCTAGAAGAAACAAGTTCAGGTCAGCACTCAGGACAGGCTGAACGACGATCCAGATGGTTAAAGGCGGTGATATGATCCATGAATCCATCGGGAGAAGCAAGACTTACAAACATGAGCGCCACAATGGTGTCGTTGGTGAGCTCGACGGGCAAGCTGGCCTCTTTCTGCAGCCTGAGCAGGACACCGATTAAGCTCTCGTGCGCCGTCTTCTCGCCACGGTCCATGGCCTCCACCTGCTCGTGGATGATCTGCTCCAGGATGCGCGTGATCCTGTTGCGGCACTTGAGCGCGTTGCGAGGCGCCGTGCCGAGAATCTGCATGAGCCTCGACGACGGGAAGAGGTCGGCCACGGTGAGCACCGACGTCTGCCGGACCGCGGTGTCGAAGGCATCCAGGTAGTCGTCCTGGTACTTGCACCGGCTGCCGATGGACTCCCTCACGAAGGTGTCGTTGATGAATCTGGAGATCATCTTGGACAGGTTGACTGTGGCGCCGGCGCCGGCGGACGCGGCGAGGCTCTGCATGAACCGCGCCACCTCCTCCTCGCGGATGCGCTGGAACGACTGCACGCGCGCGACGCTGAGCAGCTCCAGCACGGTGATCTTGCGGAGCTGGCGCCACCGCTCGCCGTAGGTCCCGAACACCAGGTCGGTGCCGTTAAAGGTGAGCACGCCGATGGTGGCGTTCAAGTGACGGTCGGCGAACGTGATGTCGTACGTCTTCGTGATCGCCTGCGCGGCCTCCGGCGACGACACCACCAGCGTGGGCACCTCGCCCAGCCGGAGCATCATGAGCGGCCCGTGCTTCTGCGCGAGGTCACGCATTGCCCGGTAGATCGATGGGCTGGTGACCAGGTGGTGGATGCTGCCTATCAACGGCAGCGTCCACGGCCCTGGGGGCAGGTTTAGCTTCGGCTTGGTGACTAGCAAAGACTTGAGCTTGGAGACGACGACGAGCAGCACGACCACGGCCACGGCGAGGAGCACCTTCTCCTCCATTATATTATTGTGAATAGCTAGCTAGCTATCTAGTTTCTGTGTGTATTATGCGACGACACCACGAGCAGCACGACGACTCCTGCTCGACATGATAGCGGCCATGACCCGTGGCTAAATTTATAGTAGCAACGGTAGTATATTGCATCTTTATATTGAAATAATAGTCGTATTATATTGTGGTGGAAATTAAGATGGACGGTCTAGGTCAAATCCTCGTGGCTTGACGTTTGAATATGTCTCAACCAAGTAAATGGCAGTATCTCAAATGGTATTTCTGCGGTCACTGTACGTCAAAATAAAAAGGTTTTCTTTTATATTAAGAGGTGTAATGAAGTAATTGAATGTATATATTATATGACTAAAATTTGATTGAGAACCAACAAAGTCACAACGGTGTTTTATTTTTTTGGCGTGCCTACATTTTCAATGGATTCAAACCGTATAATTTGGATCACCATCCGGTCCTAAATCAAATCTACTAAGTATGGTTGAAAATCGATATATGTCGAGCTATTGAAAAATACACTTCTCCTATATTTTCAGGTGTCTAAACTTTAAGATAATTTTAGACAACACTTTTATTCAAACAACTAGTACAAATAAATTGTTACTTTTAAGATTTGTTATTTGTCCTTGTGCTATAACATATTAAATTTTTGTCCTTGTCTTTCTATAGAAATAATTGTAAATAGTTAGTTATCTTTGTGCCAACACAAATCAGATTTTATCGAGTTTATCGTTTTATCTAATGGGTTTTTTTTATTCTCGGTACCGAAAATTGTAGATTGCATCTACAGAAATTGCTACGAACAAAATCTGTTATTTTAGTACAAAATATGTGTAATAACCATCGCCTAAAAAAAGCTAAAATTCAGGCACCTGAATTTTAGTAAGTCCCTCAAAAATATGATAACTCAAGCACTTGAAAAAAATTGCTAGTCTTGTCTCGGATCGAGATGTCCTGTATTATATATAAAGCCAAGTCTGCCTCGTACTTCCTCTATTTCAAATTGTGCTTGTTTTATCTCAAGTCAAACTTTTCTAATTTTAACCAAATTTATAGAAAAAATATATTAATATCTACAATATAAAATAAATGTGCTATCAAAATATATTTCATGGTGTACCTAATAAATCTTGTTTCATATTTTAGGTACATGTTTTTCATTTTTCTATAAACTTGATCAAACCTCGAAACATATGACTAAGAATAAAACTAAAACAACTTAATTATAATTTAAAAACGATGGAGTTTTCATAAAACTAATAATAAATATCGTACATGTGCCTTGTTGAAGTACCACCTCATGCCCTAGGGTGTTTGGATGTAGACAGCTATGAGCATCTCCATTGGTCTTTCTTAATTAAACCCACTCTCTAAATTATCATTTGGAGAGTCATTCTAGTTGAAGAAGCTATGGGAGGTATTTTCTTTCACCAAAATCTCTATTGCTATCAATATAGAAGGATATAAAGAGCCTCTTGAAGTTGCTCCAATAGTTAGCTGCTCCAATAGTTAGTGGATCAAACATCCTAGCTAATAGTTCAACTAATACCTAATAAAAAGTAACTAGATGGCTCCCTAGAAGCTCTAGTTTCGTTTTGGTAATTGAGTGACAACTAGTGGACTAACAAGGTGCTTCAGTGTTGAATAAGTTATGTTATGTCCACAACCAAGAGTTGAGCTATGGAAACCATGGAGGACATGGCGATGGCCAAGAGATGACCAAGTGCTCAACATTGGATTAGGGAAGAGGGAGATGGAAACAAGCCCGAAGGCAAAGGTATAGCATAGGGATTTCTATTTCACATCATTTCATGATTTGGGGAAGCAATAGGTTGATCTCTGGTCAATGTAAAATCTTTGAATCTGTTTCACATCATTTCATGATTTGGGGAAGCAATAGGTTCGAATATGTTATCTCTTCGTTATCTATCCCCTGAATTCCCGGAGTGTCATTCCGCCTCCTTTTCTGATTCCAAATTCATACTCTCGGTGAAATCTATCTTCTCGCCTTCTGGGCTATATATATACGGGTCACGGCTGTGGATCGAACAACAACCCACTTTGTCTCAAACTTTCTGCATCCTTAGTATAGCATCTGCTTTTCTGTAGGTTTGAGATCATGGAGAACAGCAAGAGGTCTGCTGAAGAGGCCCTTGCTGGATCTGCATCATTGCGCCAGTGCATCCACCGTTAAGAGGGTGCAACTTGCTATGTTCCCATCGTCCTAGAGCAGAGGACCGATTTGTCGCCAGCTCCCCTGCTATCTGAGGAGGCCGAGAGATAACAACGACCTGATCGCTTCCATTGACCGGACTGGCGAGAAACTTGCCGACTGCCTCTCTATTGTGGAGTCGGTTCTGGTTATAGTTCAAAACCAATCACCTCCTGAGGCCAACTCGGTGCGGGTGAGGCTGGCCAAGGCTGAAGCCAAAATTGCCGGTGAGACATTTACCATAATTTTCTGTTTCTTCTTCAACTTTTATTCTCCAAGATCCTGCTCACCTTTTCTTCAAATCCTTTAGATCTATCGGCTCAGCTGGAAAGCCTTTGTTTGGCTACGGACCATACGACAGGATTCATCAATGCTAGGGGCGCCGTTCCAGTGGTTCACCTGCATGACATCCCAAACCATGTCAGAGAAGTCACTGTTCATGGCGTTCGTCATGGTGCTGCCATGGCGTTGGCTGCTGCGCAAGTTCACTCCGGCCACGATCTTCGGCTTCTTCCTCGTGGAGCTTTAGTCACCGGATACCTCGGGGATTATGAGCGACTGGTCGAGGATTTCTTCGACGCCACCAACTCTGTAGCCCTGACCTCCCAGGTCGATGACATAGTAAACAAAGTGTTTTTGATCTGTAGCTTGTAATAAGTGATATCAATGAACAATTCCTTCATCTCCAATGATTTTACTTCATCCATCACTTTGCTCGTATTTGCCTTGCTCCTGTAGGTGATACACATTGTACCGGCTTTTATCCTTCTGGGTCTATCTTCGCATTAGAAGCGATATCCTTTCGGTATCGGCTATTAGAGCTGGCAGCCAAGCAACTTGGTTGTCAAGTGTTAACCCAAACGTTAGGGTAATATTCCTTCAAATATTCCCCATTTGATTGCTCTGCCGAATCCTCTTCTCCTTTCAATATTTTCAAAGTGTAAATATCACCAGGCGCACAATGCTTGATCCGATAAGGTTTCTCCCGATTAGGTGACCATACCGGCTATCTCGTTTTTGGCTGTCAAGGGCAATCCATCTCCAGATTTCTCTGGAGTCTCATTGCCACTGACCGCCATAGGTACGTCTTTGAAAGCATCCCCAGATCAGCCAAAAAAGTCAAACAAATCGCGGGAGCTGATACTATTTGGCTAGAAATGTTGAAAGCAATCCACGATGTTTCAGACTTAAAATCTGCATGTCAACGTGTATCTTGTGTAGAATTGATCATACTCTCCATTATTTAATTACGCTTCTTTTCTCGGCTAAAGAGCCGATTTAATACAGCCGATCCCAGACTTCTAACCCAATCAAGTCTGAAAACACGGCTCTTATTAAGAGAACCCTTCGATTTCTTGCCTTCAGTTGCTCAACGCCGTACTTCCATCGGCATCAGTGAAGTGGCACTTCACCTTCTATTAATTGCGGTTACCTTTTACACGTCCCAAGGCATCCGCCTCTTCGCTTTAGGTCTTCAAATATCAGCCGGTGGTTTTGGCCTTGAACACATCTCCACTTGCAATTGTTCCTTTGCTCTTCTTCGCCTGCGGAAACCCTATAGCGGTTTTCCTTCTCCCTTTTGTAGATCCAATCATCCTTCATGGCCGGCGAAGACAATCGAGGCAAGCGCGCGGCGGAGGAAATCCCGGAGGAAAATATGCTGATGTACCAACACCTCCGATGCATGAGGTGAGATTGACATTCCTTGTTTATGATGATGAACAGTTCTGACTCACCTACAGGTTTGTTGTGAATGACAGTCACCATCCTTTTCCTAGGGCCAGCGGGCCTTCTAACGCCACATCTTCTGTGCCGGCATCATCGTCGGATTCTTCTGACTCCTATAATGGCGATGACGCCCGGTGCTACCTTCATGAGTGGAGGATGGCTCAAAATCGCTATTCTGAGGCGACTTGGAGAACGGTCAACTGGAGATTCACCTCGGGGTCTCTCAGGCCACCCTTCACGCGGCTGAGGAGGAGGCCAGCGCCGTCCGAGCGTGGCTGACCGAATCCGATGCCACGGTGGCGGGTAAGATGAACTCCATGAAGGTTCCTTACTCTGACTTCCATTATCTTCTTGTTTTTGTGGCCATAAACGCCGTCAATGCCCGGGGTTCCCTTATCGGCGCTCGTCTCCAAGATGTCTTGGCCCGCGTTCGGGAGATTGCCCTCCACGGCGTTCGTTATGGTGCGGCGGTGGCGCTGACCGCGGCACAAGTCTGAACTAGGTACAAGCTCCACGCCATGGAGACTGGTTTCCCAATGGGCGATGGCCCTGAGGAGCATGAGGACCTGCTTGAAGAATTCACCATGGCAGCGGAGGCCATAATAAACATCACACCCGCTCAGGATGTGGTGAACAAGGTCTTTGATTATTTGGCAAATAGTGTTTAATCATGGACTAATTAGACTCAAAACATTTGTCTCGTAATTTCCAACCAAACTGTGCATTTAGTTTTTTTTTCATCTATATTTAATGCTCCATGCACGTATCACAAAATTCGATGTAATGACTAATGTAGCATTTTTTAAGAATTTAGGGTGAGAACTAAACACATGCGTAATGTTTTTATCGTGCAGTGTGAGTGCATGATTGACTCAACTATATATCTTGTTGCTATCCGGCCCCAGCCAGCGGATGGCACACGGATGTCGGACACGGCGCCATGGCTGACATGACATACAACTAATTTTTATGTTGATTTGCTAGCACAAATTGTATATTACACAGGATTGATAAGAATTGATTCTCTGCTGATCCCAACAAAATATGTGGGTT